AGGGAGCCCGATGCGGGGCTCGATCCCAGGACCCTGGGATCATGACCTGAGCCGAAGGCAGACGCTTAACGACTGAGCCACCCAGGTGCCCCTGTTTACTGGTTGATACTCTTTTTTTCTTAAAGTCTTTTTTTTTAAAGATTTTATTTATTTATTTGAGAGAGAGAAAGCACAAGTAGGGGGAGAGGCAGAAGGAGAAGGCGGCTTCCCGCTGAGCAGGGAGCCCGAAGTGGCGCTAGATCCCAGTACCCTGGGATCATGACCTGACGCTTAACTGAGTCACCCAGGCACCCTGGCTGATACTCTTTAAAAAAACAAACAAACAGCATGGTTTTGCAGGACAGGGTCTAGAGCTACACCGTCCACTGTGGTACCAAACATGTCCACATGTAGCTCTTTAAATTTAGATTTATTTTTTTTAAAGATTTTATTTATTTGATAGAGAGATAGCGAGAGAGGGAGCACAAGCAGGGGGAGTGGCAGAGGGAGAGGGAGAAGCAGGCTTCCCACAGAGCAGGGAGCCCAATGCAGAGCTCGATCCCAGGACCCTGGGATCATGACCTGAGCCGAAGGCAGACGCTTAATGACTGAGCCACCCAAGTGCCCCTAAATTTAGATTTAGATTAAAATGAAATAAAATTTAAAATTCAGCTTCTCAGCCAGTAGCCACATTTCAAATGCTTTAATAGCCACACGTGGCTAGTAGCTACCATATCCATGGATGGCAAAGATAACAGAACAGTTGTGTCATCACAGAAATTTCTAATGGCTAGTGCTCATCTGTAGTAATAGGTGTTGGAGGTTAAGATTGAGGCATTGAAGCAACCAATTTATGATATGTATTGTTACTGAATTCCTGGTACCACCATAGTCAAGGATCGGCCTTTTCAAGCACTGTTAGGAAATATTTTGCATTTGAAAGAGGTACTAGTGTGTTATTGCCCTCTCTTCCAAATGCCATGGTAAAAGGAAATTTCTAGTGCTGGAGAAAGCCTCAGACAATCTGGTCTAGTTACAGAGGGGGAAGCTAAGGCTCCAAAAGGTAAAGTGGGCAGCCATTAGTGGCAGAGTTCTGGGCTTCTCACCCTCAGTCCACTGTGCTGTTGTGTGGTACTTCTTAAGCTGTGTCCTCTGTGATTGATGCCAATGGGTTAAAAAGGATGGCTTGGAAAAAAAAAAGTCCTTTAATCTCAGGGGGTTGAACAGTTTCATCATGATAGCAGGTAATGATCACTGAGCCTTGGTGAAATCAATGCTGCTAATAAAAACGAAGTACTCCCAAAGACCCTGTTATTGTGTCTCACTTTCTTACAGATTCTAAGTAAGTCAGTTGTTGCTGAATGCTCCATAATTATGAAAAGAATCTTACTCTTTGCATATGGGAAGATATCCTGTCTTCATTATGACTTTTTCAAGGTTGAATAATCCTGACTGCACCTGGTTTCAGCTAGTAACTTTGGGGGGAATGTAATCTTTGTTTACCATGATCTTTTTGTGACAAATGAGGCATAAACAGTGTCAAATGTGTGCATGAAGTGTGATATTAGTTTGACTGTAAAATGAGCTATTTGAATCTGTGAATCCAATATTAGGGTCTTTATTTTTCTTTGCATGGAATTTTGTTTTTTCGTCTCTAACTGTTGTGAGGATGACTTTTAATTTTCTGAGCTCCTGTGATTTTTTTTCTTTTATAATCATTCCCCACAGTCCTCCCTTCCCTCTCCCCTTCTTCCCCCCACCCCAGCTGAAAATCACACAACTCTTTTAAGAATTTTAATCATCTGCAGAAATGAAAATTTTTAGATGGTCTTATTTCTACTAGAACGAGTAACAAAAGGAAGCACTGATGAGCTGTCTTGTGAAACTGGAGTAATTGGCCTTGTGAACAGTAGCCTTTGCATGTGCCAGAATTTTCTTAGTGTCTCAGACAAGTGGCTGTGTTGAGTGGCTGTGTTGATTACTGCTGTCTAATTATGCTCAGAGCTCAGGATTTTGCACAGTGGCCATCTCTTAGGTTGACTATCCAATCTCTGGAGTCCTTTCTTGATGTCCAGTTTTCAGGAACAGTGACTTGATGTTTATCTAGAAAGGCTTGTTTTTACTTTGTGGTATACATTACATAGGAATCTCAAAAGGGGCATGTCTGCTGATTAGAACATTTGTTACACAGAAATAGAAGAGCAAGGAACCTGACAAACACTACCTATCCAGATTTTTAAGTAGTCTATGAGGTAGAAAGGGTAAAATAGGAGATAATAGTTGAACTGTATTATGAGATATTTATCATTATATAGAATAAGGTATATGAGATCTATTATGTTTTTCCCCAAATGCAATTTTACATATAAAAAATATTGATGTACCATACATAGTTATTATTATACATGAATGTTGATTTTTATTGGTAAGTACAAGTGCTAAAAAGCAGTTTAGTATTCTTACACTTTATAAGAGGTTTAAATAGGAGATTCGTTGGAGAATAGTTTGCTTTTTTTGTTTCTTTTAATCTGGGTAGTCTTGGTTCTAGGGAAGTTTTTTTCCCTACATTGACCTAGGGTATCTCTCTAATTTCTGAGGTATGTCTACACTGACCTGGGATGTCTCTGCAATTCCCCAGGGGTTTCTGCACTAACCTGGGGTGTCTGTCTCAGTAGTTCCCCAAGTGTGTCTACTCGGACTTGGGATGTCTCCCCAGTAACTGAGGTTTGTCTCCATTTACCTGCGATGTCTCTAATTCTAGGGAAAATGTTTACACCAACTTAGAGAATCATTCTGTCCCCTGTGACCATCTCAGTGGTTACAGGTTTTACTAGTGTGATATTGTCGTGTGGCTTAAGTACTGAGTAAGCGAACTGGGCTTGCGGAGTGGGCAGCAGATACAAATTTACTGTAAAAAAAAAAAGTGCGTCATGAAGGCATAAATGTGTGGACACATTCAGTGAGCCTTTATATTGCCCCTTTAATGTGATATAATTGAAATGTTTCTTTTCTCATGGTTTTCCCTTACTTTTAGGTGTGGTATTCCTGTTTGGCAAAGTTTGGATCGAATCCGCCAAAACCCATGTGAGCTGTTGCGTCATGGTGAAAAACATCGAGCGAACACTCTACTTCCTTCCCCGAGAAACGGTAATCATTAGTGATTAGCTTCTAATTCCCAGTACATTGTATGTTTTGCCACCAGCGGTATTCTTCAACGGGGCTATGACGTCTCCACAGCCTTGATGCTGCTTTCTTGCTGCCTGCCTAGTAACCACTGGTTGTCAGCAGCTCCTTTAGAGGCTGGGAAAAATAGAGAATGGAGTAAAATGGTGTTTTTTGACTTGTTACAGTGTCAAAGTGTGAGTTTTAGTATATAATAGTATCTTCTCCCCCACTCCTCATTGCCATAGTAATCAGGGTTGGGAGTGTATGGCTCTAAAACATCACAGGGCATTTGGCCCCGTTGTCATGCTTCTGCTGTGCACGCAGCAGTACTGGTCCCTCCACAGCCGTTGAACCAGCTCAGCTCCATTTGCTCCTCCTTTTTAAATTGGGACTTACCATCCACACTCCCCTACCAAGCCCAGCCCTCCCCCCCGCAAAGATCTCAGGTGAACTGTGAATCTGAAGCTTCTTGGTCAGGATTTACAACTCTCTTCTTCCATTTTGTAGAATCAGTCCTTTTTATCTGATGTGCTTTTATGATGCTACTGGGAAGATTTGGGCATTGGGTTTAGTATATTTTTGGGGTCTGCTGCTATCTTTGAACTCCTCTATCTATAAGACTGTTCTTTTAAATGTTTAAATGGCTGAAGGTGAAAATTGAATTAGATTTGGGTTTCTCGTTAAAAAGATCTCATGTTCAGATACTTTTTTTCCCTCCCCTCTCCTCTCCATGGGAGAGCAGAAAATTGATCTAAATACAGGAAAAGAAACAGAAACTCTAGTTACAATGAAGGATGTTTATGATGAATTTGATGAGAAAATAGCAGCAAAATATAAAATCATGAAGTTCAAGTCCAAGGTTTGTATTTGGTGATAATTTTCCCCCCCACGTTTATTAGTTGTTTGTTCATTTCCCGACTTAAAAAATAGTTCTTGTATGTCTTCTTTGTGCAAAATGTCTTTTTTGTGGCTATAATTCATTGAATGGAAATTTCATAGATATCAATATAAAATTAGTATGTAAGATTTGTAAAAATATTTTCTTTCTCTTTAAACTGCTTAGAAAATAATTTTCGTGAATTTGAATAGAAAGATAACATAGCAAAGTAATCATTTCCAATCCTTGTAGCATATCTTGGTTTCTTTTTCTGAAATGGAGAAGAAACTCTTCTGATCTTGTTTTTATTAGTTATTGGCAGGTTGTTTTGGTCAGAAGGTTAAGGTTTTATATTTAAATATTGGGACTATGATGCTGTTTCTGATAGGACAAAAATCTATTGTTTGTGTGTTACATATTGATCGGTCTTGATTTTAGTGTGATTATAAATGACACCTTTGGCCATCATCATAGAGGCTTGTAACTCAGCATACTTTTAACAGTGATTGCAGGAGAGGAGGATTGAGTTGCTGAAGATAAGGTTAATCATCTTAACTATTTGAGCTTTGAATTATGGCTGATGGATCAGTTCTCTAAAATTCTAGAAATAGTGTGGTATAATAGTGAAGAGCATAGGTGCTGGGACCAGACTGCTTGTGCTTTAAGTCCTAGCCATACGACTTTGTAGTGTGTGACCTTGGACAAGGGCTGAGTGAATTCTCTGGGCCTGTTTGTTCACCTGAGAAATGGGACCCTATTTCAAGAGTTGTTGGAAGAGTTAAGCCACTGAATTCTTATTAGGTGATTAGAACAGTCCTTGGTACTTCGTAAGCACTCAGTAAATATGAGCTATAATTTTATTTTATTTTTTTAAGATTTTATTTATTTATTTGAGAGAGAGAATGAGAGACAGAGAGCACGAGAGGGAAGAGGGTCAGAGGGAGAAGCAGACCCCCCGCTG